ATTATTATTATTATTAACATGCTCTGATGCTAAGGACTTCTACTCCCTTCCAAATGCAAAACACAAGCAGAGGAGTTTCAGTTTCACAGCAGCCCCAAGCAGCTTTAGTCCAGAACAGTTGAGCTAAGCCCCGCCCAGGCTCCTTGCTGTCTCCTTCTTGCTCACACAGCAAATACTCTTTCAGTTTCCAAACAGCCCTCCACTCTCTCACGCACTGACAGGACGCTAGCCATATGAATACTGATGAATGCTGGTAGGCAGAGGCAGAATTTTTTCCCCCCTTATTTTCCTCCCCCAAAATCTAAGCCCGATCACACAGTTTTGTAGCAGAGGGCGAGTATCGAGCTAGTATATATATATATTATTTATTCCCTCAAAAATAAGATTTGAGCTGATTTGATTGTCGTCCCCCAGCGGTCCAATCCAGCCACCCAACCTTTTAAAATAATACAGATTGTCCTCAACTTATAACTAAGAGTTGAGCCCAAAATTTCTAGGACAAAAATCCGGGACACCCAACCTGTTTTGTGTCTCTGAGAAAGGCAGTCCTGGACTTACGACCGTGATGGAGCCCAACATTTCTGTTGCTAAACGAGACGTTTGTTCAGGGGAATAACAGAATAATAACAGGGACCTTGGGAGGTCATCTAGTCCAACCCCCTGCCCCACCCAAGCGGGAGGACCCTATTGCTGAGTTTCGCTCCGTTTTATGACCTTCCTTGCCAAAGGTTGTTAAGTGAATTGCTGTGGAGGAACACAGCTAGGAAGAGAATCCCTGTAGGGTTTGTTTGCCAGAAGGTCGCAAAACGGGATGGCGTGACCCCCCCCCCATCATCAATACGAGTCAGTCAGCAAGCTGACTGAATTTTCAGCCGCAGTGATCTGCTTAACGACGGGTGGCCAGCAAGGCTGTAAAATGGGAGCAATGCTCCTTTCTCCACTGTCTCGCTTAGCCGCGGAAATGCTGGGCCCAACGGCGGTCGTAAGCTGAGGACCCGCTGGTGTTATTTTACCACCCCCCGCCGGAGCTATGAGGCCGAGGAAGCTTCCAGAAACCCCTTCAAAATAGTTCTTAAAAAAAAATCAAAGCCGTGGAAGCCGTTAACCTTTAGCCGAACAAAAGAACAAAAAAAGATTTCAAATCCGAATCAAGATTTCTCCCCTAGGAATTCGAAGAATAACTCTGACTCTGAGGTGTTTTTCTGTTTTCCACACTGACCCATTGATTTGTCCGGGCTGGGAAAAATATCCCTCCGGAGTGGAATTTCCTATTTTCCCCAGAAAAATAAGATATAAATCTTTCTAAGTTTAGCATCCCACGAAGACAAAAGGCCTCGTTATGAAGTAGCCCCACTTTTTATGTGTATGTGTGTGTATATATGTGTGTGTGTGTGTGTCTGTGTGTGTCTTTGTTTGTATATATATGTGTGTGTGTGTGTGTGTGTGTGTGTATATATGTGTGTGTGTGTGTGTCTGTGTCTGTGTATATATATGTGTGTGTATATGTGTGTATGTGTGTGTGTGTATATGTATGTGTATGTGTGTATGTGTGTGTATGTGTGTGTGTATGTGAGTGTGTATATATATATATGTGTGTGTGTGTGTGTATATGTATGCCTGTGTATGTGTATATATATGTGTGTGTGTATATATATGTGTGTGTGTATATATATATATATATAT